AGAATTTTGTTATTTCTTTTGTTATCTCGTACACAAGGATATAATTGCAGTGAAAGTGAAGCAGGATAAGGGATCTGCATCTGTCTCTGGATGAGCGCCACTGTGGGATTTACTGGTAGTAATTCATGAAGTGCCAGCTCTCCTTTCGAGGCAAGTGGCGTTCCGCAAGTGCAGTGGATGCACAGGAAATTAGGCATTACCCCTTAAGGTTTCAAAGTGCTTGGAGAACTTAGAGGAACGACATTTTTTTACTTGTGGTATGGCAGTATCTTCAGCTGGACTTGTGGCATCCTGTCTGCCTAAACTTGCCTTGCAATTTTAGTTTGACACCGTTGTTTTGATTTGAAGGTTCTTCCACAGTTTGCAGTTTAAAGAAGTAAAATATTTCATCTTGGAGTCTGAATTCCATTGTGATTGCGGTTTGTGTGAAAATTGTAGGGTAGTTTTCTTTTTGGATAGAAGTGTTATATTAATGTTCAGTTTAATATTGGAAAGGTGTGTGCTGCTTAGCGTGCTAAACCTGCAGTAATACTTCTTGTTCAGGTTGTATTGTGATAAAAGGCTGGAAGCAAACTGTGGCAGGGGAGGGTCTTGTGTTTTGGGAAGGGGGGAGATCTGAGGGAGTAGTTTAGGTTTTTTATTCTTCTCAGTTTTGTAACTGAGCTTGCCTTATAGTAAGGGTTTTGATGATGTGGTTCCACGTAATTGACTCACCATGTAAGAGATGAAGCAGAACTTGGAAAGTGCTCTCCTAAAGTGATGACTGTAGATACCTAGGGCTGTTTCATACTCCAGCCCCAAACCTGTGCTTGAGAAGCAACTGCTTCAGTCCTCCTCCCTTGCAGTGTCCCCCCGCCTTCTCCCCCAGGCTGTCCACATTTTCTGGCTTTTCTGTCTCCATAGCCTGTCTTCTCTTCCCACCCATCCTCACCAGTGGCTGGTATCAGCCAGGAATCCGTTATGGAAGTGCCTATCTGACCATGCAGCTCGCCTCTGATGCATAAGTGATTCATTGCTATTAGGTGTGAGGCTGCTGATGAAGACATCACCCCAACCTGATGAATTGTTTGGGAAGTAGCTACAGCCCAAAGTATCTGCAAGCTGTCTGAATAAGAAGATAAGTTTAAACTCCAACAGAAGGATGTCTTCTTCTCAAGTTATAATAAGATTGAGTGAGAATGCTCTATGCAGTGCCTTGAGTGTTGGGTACGAGTGTTCGGGGGCTTGATGCTTTGCAACATCAGCAGCTGCTGTTTGAAACACAGCTGAAATGTTTTTATCCTCTTTGGAGCCCCAGTACCTTACTGAGGTTAACCTTATCTCATTCCCTGGGGCAAAGGCTGTTGCAGCTAGCAGGCTAACGCAGAGGATACTAAGAAGTGAAAATAGCACATGATTTTAGAGCACTGGGTCACGGTGTGCTGTGTCCAAACAGCACTGCCAGCAGCAGGGTTCAATCAGTAACTACTCCTGGGAAAGTCGCTCTTTGCAGTGCTGGTCTTCTGAGAGCGGTGCTTCGGTGGCTGCTTCTTGGGTAACGTACAGCTGAGGGAAGGGGCTGGCTGCAGAATGGTTCTGGGAGGCTGACGCCACCTCGGCTAACAGGCAATATAGTAAACCTTGTTGGTGAGTGATTAAAAAATTGAAGACTTCAGCATTCATTTACTAGGGCAAGGGCTAAAAGACCTTAAAATCCCCTTGTTCTGATTGTTGTGCATCTGCGGAGTCTGTAAATAACTGGTGTTGTACAACCAAGGTAGTTTTCCCTTGGAAATGTGATATTGAAGTTGACTTTGGTGCCCGGTTCAAGTGATCTTGAGCATAACAGCTCCTACCATTGCTTTAATAGAGCAGGCAGAAAAACAAGCTGGTAATCATTGCCACATTTTAAGGACTGATATGTTTCCACCTGCCAACGCAAGAAGCTTTTGGCAGAACAGTGCAAAACACTTTAATACCGTGAACTTTTCCAAGCACTGTCTCTACCTCAGTGGTCTGAAGAAAATGTTTGTTACTGGGCACAAGCATGCCAGTGTCTGGAAAGCCAAGTGTTGTGCAGCCTTGTGCCAAAGTACAGAGTGTAAGATAGATGAAAGGAGACGGCTAACTCGCAAGCACAGCGTGATCAGCTGGAAAATAATGACTTATTTAGTAATGACAGACTATAAATCACCGAGCTAGATGTTTGGCTAGTTAGATTTTAGTTCTGTTGTTGGAGATGTCTGGCTGCAGTAGCCGATACACAGACGATTCTTTGTCAGTAGGCAAATCTTTATTAATGCAGGATTTGCACTGGGAGCGGGATTTGTTTTCCTGGTGTCATCATATGAAGGCATAGGATAACCACTGAAAGCTTTGGCCTATAGAAACTCGACAACAATCATTTGCTGCATATTCCCAAGGCGCCAGATACATTTTGCTGAAGCTTCCTGGCTGGATTGGCCTCTCTGGTTGTCACAGAATTGCTCAAACTTTCCTTAATCTATAAGGATTTTGTTGAATAAATCCAGATGTAATTATCCATGTTAATTACAGTTTTTAATCTCAATGATAGTGATAACTATAGTAAGTTAAATCCCTTATGTGAGTGGTATAAATTTGTTAGCACATTAGAAAGCCACAATTCTGAAAGGAACTTCTGTAATGATGCATAATTGATGGTGTTGGTAGGATTTGTTGGAGCAGTGCGTTGAGTGCTGGTGTCTGTGTTTCAGGAGGTGTGAGGCTGGAAAGGTTTAGGGAAAATAAGCACAAGAGTAATGTGGAGGCTGTGAAATCTGAAAAAAGGAGAGGTTCTTCAGACACAAAACGACAATCAGCTTTATCAAAGGAGAGGTTAAGAAATTTAATCCGGTTACAAATTGGGGAGAGGTGCATTTTGTTTGCTCGCACGACCTTAAAAAAAATAATAATTATGAGATGAATTCATAAGATAGCCTAAGGGTTGGCAGCTAAAGTTACGCAAACACTGATGAGAATGCAGCCTGTATGAGTGAGCATCATTCATCAGTAGAACTTCCAGTTTTAATTCAAAACTGGATGCTCTTCCATGAAACATGTGGTGGTTCAACCGAGTTTTGCCACGGGGGTCTGGGACTGGAAGGCAGTTGCTGGTGGTGTTCATTCAGGGCATGGTTTTTAGTGATTCCCCCAGCCTTAAAACATACAGTAGGGTGTAGGACTGAGGGCTGTGAGATTCCTGGAGTCAAAAGCTTAATGCAAAGGAGGCAGAGCTGGCAAACACAGCAAAATGCTGGCGTTCCCACATGCAGGACCACAGACGAGTGGGATGGCGGAGCTGGGACACGCAGCAGCTGCAGGGACAGATCTTACCGGGAGTTCTAGTACAAATTGAAAAAAAAAGAAATCCTAAGAGGAAAACACTATACTTAATTATTTGTAAGTGGGGGGCAAGGGGGATTAATTATAGGGGTCAGGATGAATGTTTTCATTTTAACCTTATTAATACAGATTAAAAACTAAAAGTTTCCATCCCTAAAACATCAAAAGGGGCCCTGCAGGAGCTGTTTGAATAACTAAGCTCAGGAGGGTTTGGCATCACATTGGAAGCATTGGTCGCCTCCAAATTCTTCTCCCGTGGGGCTGCAGCACCTCCTGCCCCCTGCCAGCAGGGCTCTGGGAACCCCTCCTGTCACAGCATAACGGTGAGGTGGGGGATGAGGTGTTCCTGCTGGGTTTTGTCTCTGTTGATATAAATACAAAAATAACATGAGTATTATTTCAAAAAACATCAGACTGAAGCGGGTAGGAGACTGGAAGCTATTGCGGTCTCCGTTCAGTAAATATCTTGTTTTCTTCCTCTTTTTTGTTTTCATTTGGGAAATCTTGGTTTGTTTCCGGTATGTTTCAATTTTTATTCCAAAGATTATAATTTACCTTAGGTTCCCAGTGAACAGTCTCCAGTCTCTCAAAACCATATTAAAATGTAATAAAGGAGGAAGTTTGGGTTTTTTTCCTACATTCTTGTCTGTATAGTTCAAGTTCTCTGCAATTAAGAAGTAAATTTTTAATGGCAAACTTTACCATGTACAGGGAAATCAAGTCTGGGGTCTCGCTCCTTCCAAAACTAGCAGAATTGCAGCAGTTTAAGGGGTTGCAGAGCCTTTGAAAGGGAGTTGAACCATCCACATGATGAAATTATTAGTTACCGTCACTCATACCTCACTCATGAGGGAAATATCGCAGCCATGGACCGTGTAAAGAAAGCCATACAGGTCACACCTGAAGGTAGTGTTGGGGCCCCAGCTGGATCGCTCCTGGGGTGGCTCAGGGCGGGTGGCCTTTGCCCTCTGCTGCCCAGCATCCCTGCCTGTTATTTTCATGGAGCTGCATCTGTGCCGTAGGTTAGTTATTCATTTCTGTGTGGAGGTTTTCTGTCCAAAGGGTACACTTTGATCTGGGCTCAGCCAAGGCGTTTAGGAGGAGGGAGGGGAAATCCTGTTTATTAGAAAGACTTCCATGTTCTCTTTCCCCACAGTGGAATCTCGTATGTGACAACGACTGGAAGGGACCCCTGAGCACCTCCCTGTTCTTTGTGGGCGTCCTGCTTGGATCTTTCATATCAGGACAGCTCTCAGACAAGTAAAGTATATATACCAGAGCTGCTGGCTCTGGTTTGATGCTGTTTTGTAAGCAATTCTTGTATGTGAAATTTGCTATACATGTCTTTCTGCAACAACTAACGTTTTTCTTCTGTGACTGTTTAATGTGGATGTACACAGAGTGTATAGAGTAAACGTCCTGAAGTAGAACAGAATGTTGCAAAGATTGTTAGTGAGTGTTATCTTTATCTGTTTATTTTTTCAGTGAAATCACTTCTGGAGCAAACTGGTTTTATACCAGAAAACAGGTGTAGAAGATAAGTTTCATCTGGAAAAATCAGATCAATGACATTCTCTTCTAATTACTTTGGACTATGTTCAGAGAGCTCCCTGAGGCTTGTTTTCCTTTTTTGAGGTCAAATTTAAAATTCTCTTTTTATAAATACCCATAGCTTGTCTTCCTCATCACCAAATACAACATCTAGGTCTAATGACCTGTGTTTGTGGAAGCTGCAAAGCATGAATGCTGTTCAGCTGTACTTCAGAAAAGCGAGGCTTTCTTGTTTGTTGGGGTTTTGGGGGTTTTGTTTGGTGGGGTTTTTTTCTGTATTTCTGGTCCCAGAGCGTGCTGGCTTTCTTGTTTATCAGTACAACCATGAAAAAATGGAAGGCACCATGAATATTTGTGATGTTGACAGGTTGTTGGTTTGGGGTTTGGTTTTTTTCTTTTCTTTTAAAGCTCAGTTTTTCTGATTATCTCCCTGAGATTTGCTGTGCTGTCTTCCTGATTCCCAGAGAATAATATGTGGTCCTCTAATTTGCTGATTTACTTGTGGAGTATCTGTTTCTTTGAAATGTAATTCTTATGCCAGGAACCTTGTAGCATCAGTTCAGGTCCTTTGCATGGTTTCCTGCTCATCAGGTTGGACCAATCTTGAGCTTGGAGACAAGGATCCTTGAAAAATCAACCAGCTCCCCTGGACTTCTCTTCAGAGCCATATGCCATGGGATTTTTCCAAGCAAATCGCTGATCAGGCCAGTGTTTGCTCTCACTGTGATCCTGCCTTCTGCCTTGTTCCTCCCCTCAGAATCCTGCACTTCACCATTGCACAGCCAGCAGCCATGGCTACTGCCAACCTTTACATCCTCAAACAGCTCTCCCTTGTTTGCAAGCACGGGGTCCAGCAGTGTCTCCCCTTGTCAGCTCCTCAGACATCTGCATGAGGAAGTTGTCAGCAATGCACTTCAGAACATTCCTGGGTCTTGTTCCTCCAGCAGGTATTGGAGTGGTTGAAGTCCCCCATGATGGCCAGTGCCTTTGAACACGAGGCTTCCTCTGGTTATCTGAAGGCGGCCTCTTTTACTTCTTTCTGATCAGGTGTTCTGCAGCAGACACCCAGAGCGGTGCCAGCGTTGGCCTCCCTGCTAGCCCTGACCCATAAGCTCTCAGCTGGCTGGTCATCCATCCCCAGGCAGAGCTCGGTGCCTTCCAGCTGCTCTCCTGCGTGAGGGGCCATTTTCCCTCCTCACCATGGGGAGTCTCCCACCACTTCATCCTGGTGCTGCTACAGGGCTCGAGTGCTTCGTTCAAACAGAGCTCCTGGCCCCTTACTTGCTGTGAGGGTGCCAGGTGTCTTCCATGGTGGCTAACCAGCAGGTGAAGCAGGAGCCGTTCTCTTGGTGCCAGAGGCCACAAGTTTCCCACCTTCACCATCATGAGAGTCTCCTGCTGCAGCTCCTTCACGTGGTCACCCAGATCCTCACCAAGTGCAGTCAAGGAGGCCATCGGCACAGCTCATCCAGTTATTCTTGTAGCTACTGAACAGTGGCTAGCTCACGGTCTAGAGGCCAAGTGCATCCAGCAGCCCCACGAGGAGACTGCTTCGTCAAGGCTGCACGTGGTGTTTTGCTGCTGCCATCTGGTACAGAAAATCCTGCAGTGAGCCTGAACCCTGCGTATCTGGCCAGGCGTGACAGTGAGATTGACAAAAGATTCTGCGTGTTCAAGTAATGCTCTGCTCTTAATGTGTTGTGATCTACATGAGGCTTGTGGCATTCAACTGTTGACCTCCTGGTCAAGTCTGAACTTCAGAGTGAAGTTGTATGAACCTGCACTCAGCAGCTGTCTCATCACAGGCTGTAAAGTCTGCTTGAGCTGCCCAGGCCAGGATATCAGCACTGGCTCTTAGAACAGCTTGATGGGTTGGGTTTAGGTTTTTTTTTTTTTTTTTAATAGTACAGCAATGGAATTTCTAGAATACCATAAATTGCTTCATTTTTTTACTAAGTAGAATGAAGATTGCAGCGTGGGATCACTTGCTGATAATAGCATCTTACAAACCTGGGTTTTATCTCCTTTTCACAAGCTTTCCTTTTTTTTTTTTTTTTTTAAACATGCTGATCTGTGTCATGAACTGTGTGCTCCTTGGAGGAAAAGGAGCACCTAATGCTCTTGCATTTTAAATAATTTTCTGTTGATGATTTGTCTCCCTGCTTATCCTATCTGTAAGGAAGGAATAGTGTTCTAGCCCATACCTAAAGGCAACTTAACTAGCAGCCCTTGGAATGGTATTTTCTCTTGGCCAGTGTGGATCTCTCAGTATATTTAGAATAGTTGTGCCTGTGTCACATTTCCTGAACCTCTGCTTTTTGCAGATGTTTTGTATCTCCCAAAGTATGCATATGTGTAATCGTGTGTTTCTGTTTCTGAAGATTTCGTTCATACCGTTGTATAATCATCTTTCCTTTCCCCCCCCCCTTTTTTTTTTTTAATATGTCCATGGAAGATTTGGCAGGAAGAATGTGCTGTTTGCAACTCTGGCAATGCAGACTGGCTTCAGCTTCATACAGGTCTTCTCTACCAGCTGGGAGATGTTTTCGGTGTTCTTTGTGCTGGTTGGCATGGGACAGATATCTAACTACGTGGCAGCATTTGTTCTCGGTATGCAAGTCCTGCTGGGCACAGTATGTGTTCTCTAGTCTTGTGCTTTTCCTGCTCCTTTTGGGTACTGGCTTAGGGTTGATTTGTTTTGCCAAGAAACACTATTAAGAGCGTGTCCTCACCATGCATGGATAACTCATGCTCTCCTTGGAAGTTTCCAGTTGAAAGAAGTGCAATCTGAATTAAATCTGTGGCTTACCATCCTAAAAAGGCAAAGAAACCCCAGAAATTGATTATTCTAAACAAAATCTGTCTTCCAGTTGGAAAGATAAGAGGTGTAAGACATGCTTTTTCTCGGATTTGTGTTGTGCATTTTGGGGCCTAAATGCTTAATTGATGTAAAATCTTGTGAAAGAAAAAAACAAAACCCAAGTAAACATTAGAAAGTGTCCTTAAAACAGCCTATAGTAAAAAAACTAATTGGCATAATGTTCCTGCTAGGTATATTTTCAGTTTAACTAAGAGAACATTTGATCAGATGGGAATGTGAATTACCTTCTGAAGTGGAGATTTTTAAAAAATTAGGGGTTTTTTAATTAATATTATTTACAGTGGCATTGCTGTCCAAGGTACCAGGCATTGGCAAGAAATTCCTTGCCTTGCCAAAGAAGAGCAGTGCAGCTGCAAAAACAGTATGTTGCTAACCTCACTGGAGACATCCTGCTGCCACTTCTGTAATGATCTTCCATTTCTGTGCAAATGGGGAAAATTATCTCTCTTACAGTGTCTCTTGATTTGCAGGTCCCAAAGCGTTTGGAAGGGAAGTGGTGGCCCCTGTTAGTGCATTTAATTCCACTGCCAGTAGCCCGGCCTTTGTTAGTGACCCTCCACATGTGTACGCCAAAAGGCTGCAAGATTTTTGGTTAACAGGAAAATAATCCTTTAGAAGGTGATACAGGTCAGGAATCCTTTAAAGAAGCTGATCTTTCCATAAGCTGGAGAGGACCCTGTAGGGATCAAGCTGAGACTAAGAGTTGTCAGTGTTCTGTAGTTCAGGTTTTAGCTCCTCAAGTAAAATGGGAGAGTCTGAGAATTAGAATTAGAGAAGTTTTGGCTACTTCAAGCTACAGAAATACTGTATGGCCCAGTTATCTTCCTTTTATATTTACCTGGGTTGATGCAGGATCACTGCATGAAGCAAATCTGGGGTGCCTCTCAAATTGGATGGCAGAGCGTGCTATATACTGTAACTATGCAGTGTAGTGTATTTCAGAGCTGATTGTTAGAGGTATTTCTGGTAGGTTACTTGGTTGCTATTAAGTGAAAACACTAATCTTCACTCTGTTGTTTTGAACAGGTGCAGAAATCCTTGGCAAATCAATTCGGGTGCTGTTCTGCACACTGGGCGTTTGCATATTTTATGCATTTGGCTACATGTTGCTGCCCCTGTTTGCTTACTTCATCAGAGACTGGCGGATGCTGCTGCTGGCGCTTACTTTACCTGGGCTGCTCTGCATCCCGCTCTGGTGGTGAGTATAACTAATTTAGAAGACTTTAGTCTTTAGAAGGTCTTGTCTGCAGATTTTTAAGATCCAGTCTCTAAGCCAACCAGCTCTTACCAAAGAAATTCAGAAGTGGGCAGGTGAAGAACAGACATTGTATCCTTTATTCTTCCCAGTCATTTAGCTGTAAGTCCGTAGCTTTGCGGGTGATCTGACTTGTGCCTGAAAAGCCTATTCTTAATTTTCTGTAAGCTTCTATAAAATGAAGTGATGCACATGCAAAGAAAAAGAAAAAGTCAGTAAAACTCATCCTTCTACACCGAAATCCATGAACTTTAAAGAGTAGGCCTGAAGTAAGGGCAGAAGGAGAAACCAGTTGTTTTGGCAAGCTGGGCAATGCTAGGGTGACATAAATATGACAAGCTACAAAACAGTACTTGCACATATGTGAGACCTCCGTGTTTTCTCCATAGTTAATGACATAACTAATTCTATGTGACTTGTAAAGCTTAAATAGTCCACATGGTGGCAGTGTTTCTTCAAGTACATAGCATTTATGTTTGTGATTCCATCCAGCTTCTTACAAAGTTGAATGACTCAGGTGAATTCTACTTTGAGTTGCCTTTATATGAGCGTATTTACAGTTACTAATTTTATGTGTGTCATACTCTTAAGGATATGCCTCTTAATGTACAGCATGCTGCTTGTGTATTCACACTTCTGAATTTCTTTAATTAAACTGTTTTCCCATACTTCAAAGGTTCTGGTTGCTCTTTTTTCTGAGTCATTGCTTATTTCTTTAGTATTTCTAAAATCCACAAACACATTTTAGTCTGTTCTTGTTCTGTATGCTAGTCTCCTCTTGTAGATATGATTTCTGTTGTCATTGCTATAATGTCTGCAAGATACAGCAAGTTTTGAGCCCTTCATGCCTGGAACAATGTGTATTGGTGCCTGTAGCAGTGCTTTCTGTGGACGTGCAGGCTCATCATTCTGAACCTTTTTTGCAGGGTCATTCCAGAATCTCCACGGTGGCTGATCTCCCAGGGAAGATTTCAAGAGGCAGAAGACATCATCCGAAAGGCTGCAAAAACTAATGGTATTACAGCCCCAGACGTAATACTTGACCCTAGTGAGGTAAGATTCATTCAGCTGTCCAGTTGTTTGCTGGACCTATTAATGACTGTGTACAGTGATTAATTTCCAGAGATGAGTTGAGTTACACCTGCAGTGTATTATGTACTTCTGAAATGGATAAAAGGTCATCCTTTTCCTGAAAAGCAGAATACCCTTTCCCCGCTTCTTTAAGATTTGCAAGGGCTGTCCCATTCCTATGGGAATGCCAGCATGCATTCTAATGCAAACATTTTTTGATCCAGTCTACAACCACCTTTTTGCTTTTAAACTCTAGGTTTGGGGGGAGGGTAATGAATTTGAGGTAGCTGTTGCTTTGTGATCTAAATACTCGCGCTGTACAGACTTTATGCTTGCACAGTCTAATATGAGTCTGTAAGTCTAAAACAGCACTAATCCTGGCCAGGGGCAGCGGAAAGAATGTCATTCGAGTTCAGTTCCATATTCAACTCCAATTTCTACTCCATCTTAAGGAGAGCAAAACTTGAGCTCCTTTCACGTGGAATAGCTAACAGTATCTTTTCTTCCCCCTCCATTTCTTCAACATCTTCTTGTTTCCTCTAGATATCCCCCATTTGTCTGAGCTGTTGGTGACCTTAAGATGGAGAAGCAGTTCCACACTCATTCAAACCAAAAAAACCAAAACCTTGAAAAGTCAGACAAACTGTTTGCATAATCCAGGAGAATGGGCACCTCTCAGGGCAGATCTGTAGAGTCTGTCTGGGCAGTTGCCCAATTGTGTTCTGGTTGACAGTTGACATTGTCTTATTGTTTATGTGAAAATACCTTGTATATTCACTTGCTTTACAAGGCCTCCATACCAGACTAAGGAAAATGGTTAGCCATTAAACTGTAGTGTGTTTGCTATTGATATGGAAACAGCTTCACTTGGGTTGAAGTTAGCTGAGGTGCAAACCAACCTGTTTGTCCAGACTTACTTGCAGATAGTAGGGCAGATATCCTGGTCTTACTGGAACAGAGTGAGAATGCCAGGAAAACCCAGGCCTTCTTATGATAGGTTTTGCCCTGGATTTTCATTAGAACCACGTGTATTTTCTTTGGTTTTTTCCTCCTTCCTTCTCACACTGCAGGCATGAAAACTCACCCATTGCCAGCACTACAGCAGGAGAATGGAAAATAAACTCTGGCTCCAACATCTGCTTAAGGTCACTGTCCCTGGAATCTTCCATCTCCCATTCTTAGAAAGAAATACTGATCTGTTTGCCATCTCTGAATGGGGCTGGATTATGAAGCAGCAGAAAGCAGGAGCAAGAGTAGGGATGTTGCCCCCGGGGAACACTGGGCAAGGGGAAGCGCTGCCTTCTGCAGCAGGGTGGGCTGGAGTGCATGGTGCCTATTTACAGATAAAACATTGCATGTCAGCTTTCAGAAATACAGATTAACATTCTGACACTGAAAGGAAAAAGCTCGACAAACAGACACTGTTTAAATGCAGAACTCCTGTCCATCGCTTTACTTCCTAAGGTAAATGTAATGCTGTGACCAAAAAATCTGCAAAACTTTTCTTCATCGGTGGTCTGTTTACGCTGTTCCTTTATCTGCTTTCTGAGGAGCTGTAAAGCAGAAGGCTCGCAGCTTCTCATGAGTTTTTAGGAGGCATGTTTATGCTGCAGAGAGGTTCAGAAATCCAGCTGGCCCTTAGCCTTCCTGCAGTTGGAACATGAATTCTGGACAGAGAAGCAAACTGAGCTTGTGTTTGGAGAATTCCTCGAACCCATGCAACTGGAGAGCAGTGCCTACGATATTTAGGCTCCAGAGATTTCAAAACCAGCTAGGATCCAGCAGGTGACTAGTCACAAAGAAGCCGCGGAGCAGAAACAGGCCTTGTGGGGCTGAATTATCCCATACAGGGCTGCAGAGAAATGTTTGTATGATAGGATTCATTTCAAATCATTGTTTCACCCTCCCTGCCCTTCTCGTAGCTTCTTGTTCTAGCCTGTCCTGTTAAGGATTATGTTGTCTGCTTATCCAGCTTCTAAAAGGCAGGGTCCTTTTTTCTCATCAGCTGTGACTCTCTGAATGTTACTGTTCCTGGTTTTGTTCTGTGGTTTGTTTGGTTTTTCTCTCTCTCTTTTTTTTTTTTTTTTTTTTTTTTTTTTGTTTCCTGTTTGCTGGTTTCTTGGCAATGAATAGCGGCAAAACTGGAGAGTACTTAGGAAAGATCATGTGATTTATGAGAAAGGGCTGTGAGCTGTAAAGCTGACTGCAGGCTGTGGTGGGAGGCTTGGCTTCAGGCAGAATGAAAGCTATCAAATACAAAAAACTGTTTACCTTTGGTAGAAAATGAAAATTTATGAAAACAAATACACTGAAGGTTGGCATGCACGAGCGTCAGACTGCTATTATCCTCCAGGGCTTCAGAACAAAACATCACTCAGAAAGAATTTTCACCTGACTACAGGGGTTACATAAACTTCATGTTCCCATTAGCTCACAGTTTAAAAGGCATTGAGGAGATAATGTATATTTTGAGTTGAGGGGCAAGAGCTAAGGGCCCCAAATGTCCAGCAACAAGCTTGCCAAAAGAGACATCACCATTTGAATTTGGAAGAGCAGTTGATGAGGAATTAAGTTAAACTAATGGTTGCTTTTGTCTCTTTACTGGTGTGTTGTGTCCTGCAACAAGTCCAGCTACTTCTGCTGGACCAGCCTGATGTTTTAGGGGAAAAAAGTATTGTAAGTTGAACTAACACAGAGTAGAGGATGGTATATTAGGCCAGGCGGAAAGAGTTCAAAAAAGTTCATAGGAGTGAGTAATTGCACTATTCTGAAGCTACAATCATAGTTTACTTTTATTGGTAACCATTTACACATACCATGATGGAGTACACAGTGCCAACAAAAGGCATTCAGTCTTTAAACATACAGAAATTTAATTTGACATTCTCAGGTCACGCTGACTTAAAAAATCAAGGGAGGAAGTAATTTTGTATGTGGTTTATTGTGCTTGCACGTAATAGAGGTCTGTCAGGCAAGAGAAAGAGTCGTGGAAAGAGAAGTCTTCACGTAAATATTGTGAGGCGTCTTGGCAGCTTACAACTCAAAAAATGTCAAAATTTTAAAAATGTCAGTAGTACCTTTTTACATTTGATAATTTTGAGCTGCCATGGTGGGTGCTTGTTTCTTTCTTGATTAGATTTCTAACTGTTGGTAGAGTCACAGATTCACATAGATAGAAAATGTCCTAACAGAAAAAAGAATCTCTCTGGAAGACTTTAAGATCAAAATCTTGTTAATGTTCTTACTGTTAGACTGTTAAAAACACCATTAATGAGTAATTAATAAATAAATACCATTGATGAGTAAGTAGCCTGTGATAAATGCTGAAAACATACAATCTTTTGCAATAACAAAAATATGACATGTCTAGAAAACTGTGATTCTTCAGCCATATAGTGTTGCTTTATCAGAGTTGATAGTTTTAATCAAGGGAACTTGTCCCCTTAAATCACCTTTTCCATATTTTGAAAAATCTCTCCCTTATTACTCCTTGTTAGGGGTCTAAATTTAAAAAAAAAAAAAAAAAACAAAAAACAAAAAAAAAAACCCCAAACCTTAAATTATTTCCTTTTTTTACAATCTTATAGAGCACAAAACTTGTTTGCGTGTTTCATGGGTGAATATCTTTGCATTGTTTACATGGAAGTGGTTTTATTTTGAGGAGCTGGAAAGTTTCATGGGGAAAGGAGAAGTTTGTTGTCTTTCTCCTTACATTCTTAGAAGAAGATCTCAAAACCAGGCTGTGTAATGATGGGGACTCTTCAGCTCATTAGCCAGTTTGTCTCAGTTTAAATACATTACTGCTCGATGCGGCACGAGGAGTCATTTACAAATCTGTCCTGCTTCAGTTTAATCTTGTTATTTCTTGTCTCGTCCACACTGGATGTAGAGGACAGTTTACCACTTTTTTTGCTGTTTTTTGAAGGCCATTCTTGGTCTTTTAAGACTCCCTCAGTCTTCTGGCCCTTAGGCCAAATAAACCATCTGCTTTCAGACTTTTACAGATCACATTTTTCAAATGTCTCGTCATCCTTGTTGCTCTCTTCTGGTCTGGGTGCAGTTGATTTGCACAATCCTCAAGATGCAGTCCTTAAAACTGGACGTAAGAACCCTACCAGTAGTGACATACAAATCATAAATTAATGCTGTTGCTTTAGAATTCAAGTATAAAAGTAACTATAAGCAGTTGCTTTAAGGAGCCTCAGGCAGAGAAAACAATTATAAATTTTAGCCTAAATTTTAGGTCATCTTAAATTAGGAAGGAGCAACTACTTTCACAGGTAGTTGGCTCTTACGACTTATATGTGTTTGGTTAAAAGTGGGGCACCTGTTTCAGCTCTGCAACATATCAAAATACTGATGTA